CGACTTACCACTCGACCCGTGAAGATCCCGGTTAGAACTGGCCTTCAGCAACCCATGCTTGTCGTTAAAGGCGACTACCGGGATCGGGTGGTCAGTCTCGCTGACTTGGTTGACACATGTCAGTGCGTAGATCGATGCTCATGCTGTTGACCTCTGGATTGTATTATCCAGATTCGATTATTTACAGCCCGTCGCCATATAACTGGAATATTGCTAAGTGCGGCGTTAAACAACAACTAAACCAACGCCATACGTTGTTTGATGGTAACAACATTCCAGGTCAAACTAAAACATGAGTCTCATTAACTAATTCAGACAATGACCTACTTTTCAGCCGATCCGAATTTTCTCATGTGAAAGTGAAAAGAGACACCACAAACAACTATGGTTACACTGAATTTCAAATTCCTTTTTTCATAAGAAAATGGTATTTACAAGTTAATTTTATTTTGAAACTTTAATAACTTCGTACTTCTATATTTTATGGCGAGGTGTAGGCAGCATGACCTTAACTAAGACGTCACAGGCTGCCCCTGTTTGACGAGGTCGTGAAATGATTCACAAATCATCTGGCTCACTGGTTACACCTGATATGTATTCACTGCGCTTATTCAGTGTAGTGTTGTAACGCACAATGTGATTGATATAATATCAAGTCCGTACCAGACCGCCAAACTGTTCTAGCGGCAGAGCCTCGTTTTGAGATTTCCACGATTTCCAGATTTCCGTTTGTCAGAGCACGCTGTACGACAGAGCACGCTGCACGACGTGTTTGCAAGGATTAGAAGGCGTGTGGTGTTGCAATATACAGGTGCTTAGATGTATCAAATAATTCTGATTAATATTTATGTATCCAGTTGAATGAATCGGTCTCAGAATTCTGGACTGGTTATTGTACTAAGTTGCGCCACAGGACAGAACCCAGTCAGCAGGAAGCGAGACTGTTGTGTAATCAATGTTTTGACTTGCTCCGCACAGCTATCAAAATATTTCATGCGGGGGCATTTCAAGTAACAAAATGATGCCCGATGCAATTCCCTTTTCGACTTGTACCCCATTAGTGCATGTGTGTTTTTCGGCAAAAAGAACCTAACTTGTCCTATCGGAAGGGTCACAAGAGTATAGTTCCGTCAACTGCTGCAACAGAGTCATTACATATGGATAATAATAAAATACACACTTTATTCAAGATTTTTACGGTTCTTTAAGTACAACAAATTCATATAGTAAAATTATGCAGACGGACCGGGCTTGCAAAGATAAAACACCAAAGCCAAATTCTATCCAGTATGAAATCGCTTTATTATTTTTGAATTCCCACGTGTAACCATTTATACACGACCTATCATTACTTATTTGCAGCCAGGTTGCGCGTCCTTCCGGTTTCAAATTAACTGTTTCACAACCATATTCACCCCGAAAACAGGAAGACAGCAAAACATTGAACAAACTTGAAAATATTCATAAACAAGAAAACATTGTGTCCAGGGACACGGATGCCCCCGCTGACATTCATAAGACATATAAAGATCAATAATTGAACAAAATTCACGAACAAGTTCAATAAACATCTATGCAACTATGAGATGCACACCTTTCGAGTCCCAATGAAACACATGTATAAGCTTAATCAATTCTGATTTCACTATCATCAGAGAGAAATTCAACAAAATTGATCTAAGTTCAAATGACTCTAAACATACACAAAACTATAAAATACAAGAACAAAACAACATGAGATGCACACCTTTAGAGTCTCTATAAAAGACACATGTAAGCTAAATGAGTTTTGTGTAATGTTTTTTGAGGAGAAGTGGATAAAGTACACCCCCTGTTGTATGAGACGAACAGGATGAATAGAACCAAACTCAACTAAGTTCAAACATCTGTAGAAGTGACAAAATTAAGAAACTGGAGGAACAAGGTATGAGATGCACACCTTTAGAGTTCCAATGAAACACACGTAGAAGCTCAATCAATTCTGTTGAGCAGCTTTTGTGGAGAAGTGGATAGACTTCATCCCTACAACACTAAATTCAGAGAGAAATTCAACAAAATTTATGTAAGTTCAAACGGCATTAAAATTGGAAAAATAAATAAAATACAAAATCAAAATATGAGATGCACACCTTTAGAGTCCCTATAAAGCACATGTGTAATGTAAATGAATTCCATAAAGTAGTTTTTGAGGAGAAGTGGATAACGTACACCCCCTGTTGGATGGAACGAACACTGGCTGAATAGAACAAAATTCAACTAAGTTCAAACATCTGTAAAAGTGACAAAATAAAGAAATTGCATAAAAAATTATGAAATGCACACCTTTAGAGTCCCTACAAAAGACATGTAGAAGTTACTTCAATTCTGTTGAGCAGTTTCTGTGGAGAAGTGGATTGACTTCACCCCCTATTACACTATCATCATAGAGAAATTCAGCAAAATGTACCTAAGTTCAAATGTCTCTAAACTTACAACAACAAAAAATAAAATAAAAAAACAAAATGTGAGATGCACACCATTAGAGTCCCAAGAAAGCCCATGTATACGTTCATTGAATTCCACAGAGCGGTTATGGTGGAAAAGTGGATAGAATACATTCCCTGTTTCGTACGTACGGACGGACGGACGGACGGACACCGAGGGTAACCCTATATGCCCCCAGCCATATATGGCGGGGGCATAAAAAACAACACTGTAGATTTTTGTTTTCAACCAACAATGGTACCTGACATCACCACCTTCAACACCTGACAACGTCTCCATCAACACCTGACACCACCTCCATCAACACCTGACATCACCTCCATCAACACCTGACATCACCTCCATCAACACCTGACATCACCTCCACTCCACCAACACCTGACACCACCTCCACCTCCACGTCCATCAACACCTGACACCACCTCCATCAACACCTGACATCAACACCTGACACCACCTCCACCAAAACCTGACACCACCCCAATCAACACCTGACATCACCTCCACCTGACATCACCTCCATCAACACCTGACACCACCTCCACCAAAACCTGACATCACCTACATCAACACCTGACACCACCCCCATCAACACCTGACACCACCCCATCAACACCTGACATCACCTCCATCAACACCTGACACCACCACCATCAACACCTGACACCATCCCCACCAACACCTGACACCACCTCCACTTGACATCACCTCCATCAACACCTGACATCACCTCCACCAACACCTGACATCACCTACATCAACACCTGACACCACCTCCACCTGACATCACCTCCATCAACACCTGACACCACCTCCACCAACACCTGACATCACCTCCATCAACACCTGACATCAACTACATTAACACCTGACACCACCTCACCGCCATCAACACCTGACATCACCTCCACCTGACATCACCTCCATCAACACCTGACACCACCTCCACCAACACCTGACATCACCTCCATCAACACCTAACATCACCTCCATCAACACCTGACACCACCTCCACCATCAACACCTGACACCACCTCCACCAAGACCTGACATCACTTCCACCAACACCTGACATCACCTCCATCAACACCTGACATCACCTCCACTTGACAACACCTCCATCAACACCTGACATGAACTCAACGAACACCTGACATCACTTCCATGAACACCTGACATCCACATTCATCAACACCTGACATCACTTCCGCCTCCTTCAACACCTGACATCACCTCCATCAACACCTGACACCACCACCTCACCTCCACCAACATCCGACACCACCTCATCAACACCTGACACCAGCTCCATCAACAACATCAACCTACATCACACTATTATTTCGTAAACAGCAACAACGCCGCCTTTGTAGGAAACATACACTTTGCCACCTTGGCCAAAAAGCACACAGCGTGGTTCAGACAGATTGTTCTGCATTGTATCAACAACACACAAAGTTCTCCCCTCAGGGGAAAAGATCAGGATCTCATTCCTATACATGTCACACGCTATGATACGTCCATTTGCACCAAAGATGGCGTCTGAAGGCCGCCACTTCATGCCGTTCCTTTTGTGTCCGTTGACCTTGAGGAAAAAGGCCGTCTTTCTCCGACTCGAGACACACGGACCCGTTCATTTGCCAAGAGCACGCGATGACCACATCATCTGCTACGTACCGAAGGGATTTCATCTCACCTTTGACCTTACTGGTCCAGTTTCTGACCATCTTGCCTGTTGTCGTCATGACCCGCATCTCCTTATTTGGCAGATTGCCAACAATGATGTGGTCGCCGAAGTTGGCGACAATAGGATCACAAGTCATCTCTCCGTTTCGTGCCAAGGGTATTTTGGACTGAACTTGCAGATGTTTTGTTAATATAATAAGGTAGTTTTCATAGATGGCGCAGATGGTATTGCCATTATCAACACATACAAAACCGTTTGAAAAGGTCACATCTTCCATTCTGATTTACCAAAATAATTATCTTACCATTATCATAGAAATCTTTCAGCTTTGCATTTGAGTCGTCTAAAATCAAAAGTCTATCTTTATCTTTAAAAGGCAATAGAGCTAATATTAGGTTTTGATTTATCAGTGCTAATTTGTGTGCTGAACTGACTCTTGTATGATAAAACCCCTTCTGCTGTTGCGTCTATCCCGTGAAGGTTTATCTCAAGAAATTCTTTTGCTGCCCTGTCTTTAGACTGTGAAGCATCCTTATCTCCAATCGCTTCACCCCCTCATCATCGTTGGCTGATGTGTCCATTACCCCCTCCTGTGGTGTGCTGGTGGGATGCGTGGTTTGTATCTTCGGTTCTTCCTTGAGTGATTTGGGTATGGAAGATTTCGGTGTCACCTGGGGATCTGCACATGAACATGGTACATTTGGGTTTCCTTGGGCCATTGAAACTTCACGAAAAGTGATAAATTCTGCGTCAACTGGAAGGTTTATATTAACCTCATATGTAGTCAGAGTACCTGTAGATGACACGGCAGGTTCCTCTGCATATTCTTTCAGCCCTGTTGAAGAGTCTGGGACAGCAACAGAAGAGTCAGCCCACCACCCTCTTCCACCTGCTGACATACTCGGACAACCTCCTCCCTTCTTTCAGATTCAGAGTTCACCAGCTCCAGCATCCTTTGCCTCCTACGCCTCTCGCCCTCAAAACTTCTCCTGCCCTTCTCCAACACCTCAGAACTCTTCTCTGTGATCTTCTCCAACACACAGCAGCAACTGACGAAGTCAGCTCACTCCTAAATATTTCTTCCTCTTTGTTTAACTGATCCATCTCCGCTTGCAGTGTTTTGGCAGAGTCTTGAATACTGGAAGACGTTGCTCCTACCACTGACAGTGCCTGTTTCAATGACTCACGCCTTTTGTCAGATGCTTCGTCTACAGTGTCAAACTGATGTTTCTTGTGCTCAGCAATGGCACAATGAACACATACTGCCTCAGAACATGTGTGACAGAAAATGCTCAATGCTTCGTGGTGTTTGTCACAAATCTGTTCCTCCTTCTCAAGAAAGTGTTTATCGTACTGACCTTGTCCGATGTCATCAAGGGAGACCACTCGATGTGTTGCTGTCAGAGTTGAAGAGTTATGTCTCATGGAGCAAGTTTCACAAAGTTTGTCGCCACAATCCAGGCAATGGCGAGTGGTTTCACAAAAATCGCCTTTCATTGAACAAATCACACATTTAGAGGCCTGTGGTGTGCGACAAGCATACACCCTCTGACGTCCCAGTATATAGAAGTTTGTCGTTAGAGAGCTCGCTGATTTCGTCTGTAGCCGAGTTTTATGCTTGCACAGAGGACATTGGAAGACATGCCCACCGCCCTCGGTAGTAAGCCGTTCTTCAATACAAAGCTGACAGAATGAATGGAGACATGTCAAAAGTTTGGGGGAGGAAAACGGCTGTTGGCACAGCCTACAGGTGATGTCTTCATGAGGTACCGGTATTTTTCCGGGTGTCGATATTGACGACATATTCCTTCACCTGGAACCAAAATGGACAATAGTTTAAGTTGTACCTATATGATTCAAGATACACGCCCAATTGACCCTCTGAGCAGACTAAAATTGTTTCTTTGGGTGGTGTTCACGTCCTACTTTATCACCTTTAATTATGGAGGACAATAGTGATCTGCACGTCTGGCGCATCAAAATTGGATATTTTCAAATATTGACCAGAACATATGCATGTATGATATAGACGTACCTTTTATCTGAGTGTTTGACAACTACACTGCATCTATCTGTCTGTCTGTCTGTCTGTCTGTCTATCTATCTATCTATCGAAGACTGGGGCAGTGGGGTAGCCTTGTTTAATGTATGGCACTTACGACTATCTTAGAAGACCAGGGTTTGATTCCCCACATGGGTACAATGTGTTTGCTGGAGTATTGCTAAAAGCGACGTAAAACTAAACTCACCCACTCACATTTTTCTGGACCAGATAACACAGTGGTTGTAAACATTATCAACGGCACGGTGACATGTCAAGGTCTGGTGTAATACTCATGTGATTCAAGATGCCCTATTTGCCCTTTGAGCTGATGAAAACATTCCATCCTGCATCATCGTATCCGGTGACGTTTGACGCTCATCACGTTCACAACCACTGTTGCTCTCTCTCTCGTGTATTTCTCTTGTTTTTTTGTTTTGTTGTTCTTTTTTTTTTGTTTTTGTTGTTTGGTTTTTGGTGTTTTTTGTTTTTGTTATTGTTTTTTGTTTTGTTTTTTGTTTTTGGTTTTTGGTGTGTTTTTATGTTTTTTGTTATTGTTTTTTTCTTTTTCTGTTTTGTTTGTTGTTTTTGTTTTGTTTTGTTGTTGTTGTTTTGTGTGTTTTTTGTGTGTTTTTTTTTTTTGGGGGAGTATCGTAAACCCAACACGATGTGTTTAAATAAATGTAGGTGTGGTTTTGTTTTTTTAAATTATTCATTGGTATTCTTTGGTCATGTACTGAATCAAGAAATCATTGGAAAATATAATCTGACAGAAACTTTTGTTAACATGCTGAACTTTTGATTACATATTTTGGACAGCATTAGCACTGCCGTTGTGCTAAACTAAATTTGAAATATGTTTAATATGTTTCCCACACGTCCAGTGGATTTAAGCCATAACTGATTAAAATAGCTTGCTTGTGTGAGAGCTTTAACTAATTTCGATCTACCTAAGCAAAACGTCGGAGAGTATATTTAATTGGGATTCTCTGGTCGTTATGTTTATTTCCGTGGTCATTGCTGAAGTTTACGGAACTGGCTTTTCATTCACCGTTGGCCTTTATTCAAGGATTTCCGGTAACCGCCCCTCGCGATAATTAGGGGCGAGTGAAATCTTATGGATTGCTACAGTACATGCAGCAAATATTTTCACTTTCATCGACAATTATAACAAGCGTTAATATGTGTCTCACAGTCCTTAGATAATAACTAACATAGACATGTCACAAACCGAAACCTACATGTAATGTGTCATATAATCATATATGTCATGTGTTCATAACAGGCCTTCCTTTAGCGCGGTATAACGAGGATAATCACTCTTCGTCAGTCTGTATCATTTTCATGGCAGGGGCTGTATGATTTATGCATTAGTCTGAATGAACACAACATAATTACCTTATGTAGAATGACGAATACTCTTTAACGAACTGGGAACTTCCTTCGTGGAAGCTGAAACTGTCTCCCAGTTTGTGAGACGCTTACACCATGCCTACTGTTATGATTACACCGGCGGTGCAGATACAGAATGATACTTCAAAATTTTCAGACATTAAAACATTTTTTCTATATGAGGACACTGATTTTATGAATATCAGTTTACTGACATTTGACGCATAAAAGTGTTCTTACCTCGATAGTACACTGGAGTGAGTTTAGTTTTACGCCGCAGTCAGCAATATTCCAGCTAATATGATGGCGGTGTGTATATAATCGAGTCTGGACCAGGCAATCCAGTGATCGACAGCATGAGCATCTATCTATATCGACAATTCCTCGTTTTAATGCGACACAGCGTGTTACGTAATGAAAATGTAAAGCGCTAAAATGATGACATTCTCTACTTACATACATGTGGTTGTCCGATTCTATGATTTTTCATTAAAATGATAACATTCTCTACTTACATCAATGTGGTTGTCCGATTCTATGATTTTTCATTAAAATGATAACATTCTCTACTTACATACATGTGGTTGTCCGATTCTATGATTTGTCACTAAAATGATGACATTCTCTACTTACATAAATGTGGTTGTCCGATTCTATGATTTTTCATTAAAATGATAACATTCTCTACTTACATACATGTGGTTGTCCGATTCTATGATTTTTCATTAAAATGATAACATTCTCTACTTACATACATGTGGTTGTCCGATTCTATGATTTTTCACCGGATTCACAAATTTCCAGTTTAATGGATCAGTCCAGTGGTTGAAGTCATGAGCATCGACCCATGCAGTCACGACACCATAACCGCCATCAGCTGCTCAACAATGAACAATGGTCTTCTGCGTCTTCTCCGGGATTCGAAAATAGGCATTCTGTCAGTCATTTTTCTGGAATTGTGTAGCTCTGAACACATCCTTTGCCATTGGGGCGGTGGGGTAGCCTAGTGGTTAAAGCGTTGGCTCGTCACGCCGAAGACCCGGGTTCGAATCCCCACAGGGGTACAATGTGTGAAGCCCATTTCTGGTGTCCCCGGCCGTGATGTTGCTGGAATATTGCTAAAAGCGGCGTAAAACCAAACTCAGTCAGTCAGTCAGTCCTTTGCCAGTGCTCACAATCTTCTCAGTTTGTTTACCGCAACACTCAGCAATATTCCAGCTAGCTATATGATGTAAAAGTAAGCGATCTGTAAATTATCGGGTCTGTACCAGGTAATCCAGTGATTGACATCACGAGCATCGATCTACTTGATGCGATGACATGTGTCAACCAAGTCAGCGAGCCTGACCACCCGATCCCGTTAGTCGCTTCTTACGACAATCATGGGTTGCTAAGACCAGTTCTAACCTGGATGTTCATTGATGCCGCTTATGTGAGAAAAGAAATCTTTCTTTTCCTGATCAGCCAAACCATTTCCATATAATTGACCGGATCTAAATATGGTGGTGCATGGACTCTGGAACGGACACCTTCTTTTCCTCTGTTTGAGGAGCAAGCTCATTAGTATCATCTTTCACGGCCGACATCTTTAAATACTCAAAGTGACAAAAAACCCTCCCTCATACTATGACAATGAATGAGTTAAACTTTGCAATAATAAACCATTGCTTTGTGCCGAGAAATATTTACAGAAGCTCCAGCCTTTACAGTTTACAGTTTCTGAAGTACAATCGAGCGTGCGAAGATGCCAAAGAGCGACATACCGGTCGACCCGTGAAGATCCCGGTTAGAACTGGCCTTCAGCAACCCATGCTTGTCGTTAAAGGCGACTACCGGGATCGGGTGGTCAGTCTCGCTGACTTGGTTGACACATGTCAATGCGTAGATCGATGCTCATGCTGTTGACCTCTGGATTGTATTATCCAGATTCGATTATTTACAGACCGTCGCCATATAACTGGAATATAGCTAAGTGCGGCGTTAAACATAAATTAATTCAGACAATGACCTACTTTTCAGCCGATCCGAATTTTCTCAATTGAAAGTGAAAAGAGACACCGCAAACAACTATGGTTACACTGAATTTCAATTCCTTGTTTCATAAGAAAATGGTATTTACAAGTTAATTTTAATTTTAATTTTTAATAACTTCGTACTTCTATATTTTATGGCGAGGTGTAGGTAGCATGACCTTAACTAAGACGTCACAGACTGCCCCTGTTTGATGAGGTGAAATGATTTACAAATCATCTGGCTCACTGGTTACACCTGGATGAATAGAACCAAATTCAATTAAAGTTGCGAGCAACATTGAGGGCTCCTTGGCTTGGATAATTTCTGGCCATTGGGTACCCTGTCATGCAGATGTCGAAAGCAGTAAAGGCTATAGCTGATATGGATCATATCACTGTCAGTAATGAGAAATACTTAAGTAGTAAACTTTGAATTCTTCTGTTTTAGGGTTAGAAACAAAGGATTGTGTTGTATGGTATGGGTAATTGCACTTATGGCTTTGGAAACAGCTGTTGGCTTGATTAGAGATTCGAAGGAAAAGAATAATGCACGTTCAATTGCTAATAATTTATTTCTTTTACTGAAAATGTGGTTGTTTATGGTGTTTATTTTCGGGTGAGTGTAGATACAATTTCCATTTAAATATCAACAACAGCCAAGTTGAAATGTGACACAAAGCGCCCGTACTCTGTATTTGTGTAGCATGTACCAATATCCACAACACTGTTTCTCTCTAACGTTGAGCTTGGTTGACACATGTAATAGGTTCCCAATTGCGCAGATCAATGTTCATGCTGATAATCACTGGATTGTCTGGTCCAGACTCGATTATTTACAGACTGCCGCCATATAGCTGGAACATTACTGAGTGCAGCGTGAAACTAAATTCACTCATTCTCACGCTGATGCAAGCGAACTTGTGGATTTCACAGCAATTAACGTACTTCTGTAGTTTGTATCAGTATCCATTACACTGTTA